TTAAGCCACTGGATCCAGGACTTGAACCGCAGTCGACTACATGGGAGTCCAACAACATAGCCATTACTCTAACTGCTGGTTCCAATAATGACATTTCTCACAACTCAATTTATCCAAATTCACTCATATCGGTGTCAGCGGGTTTTCATGAGCTATTGACCCGAGACATAGGGTCTTTGTCATGTGGGATTCTCTAAGAGTAACTCACAATATAGAAGATGACTAGCTTACTCCAAGCAAGTATTCTAAGAAAGAGTGATAGCTAGATTGGAAGTACCATCTTTTTATAATATGATCCACATTCAAGTGGAGGGGATTACACAGAGTCTTGAGTATTTGGATTGGGGCATTTGAGCCTTTTTTTGAAATTGCCCAACACACATGGGATATTACTATAGCAAACATCCTCTGCACTCTTGCTCCCTAAATGGTGGCCCATAAACTTGCAGCATGGCACTATCTGAAAACTCTATAGAAATTCAGTCTCAAGTTCAATCCCACCTAGAACTACTGAATCAGAATCAGCATTTAACAAATTACGTTTCTTCCTGTGCATATCAAAGTTTGAGAAGTTCTAGTCTGTTGGATCTTCACACATTGGCTCTTCAAGGAATCTAACTTTAAACTGATAATTGCCCATCAGTGTCTTTGCTATGGATCAGATGTGATAAACTAATGAGATTCTGCTTTCTATGTTTTTCAGAAACATGGGAATGGGCAGGCTACTCCATGGTCTTAAAATGCACACACAGTCACCATTTAATGACTTAAAGATGAAGTCTGAACTTTTGTTGGCTATCAGACATAACAATGACCACATGGACGTCTCCTATTTCTGTGTAGCATTTATAGGGAAACCCAGAGCCTTTGAACTCATGAAAACCCCCAAACCCATCATCCAAGCATCTTTCATTCCTGGAGATGATCAGAGTTTTCATTACAGGTTAAATTCTTTGTAACTTTTTCATGTGGAAACTATCCTGTTACTCCTGTTAGTTCTCCTGCTGAGTGCAAATGGAGTGTACACTCTACTTCCTACAGCTGCTTTGGATTTTCTTACATTTTCCAGGTTTTGAAAAAAAAATGTGCTGACAGAACGTGGCTTCATGTACAACTCTCAACTGACTTTAAGAGTATAAACAGAAATAGGTTTCCTGGTCGTATGTACCAATGAAATAAAAATATTATCCCTACATCCAAAGATCCACTAGCCACTTTATTTTTAGAAACTGGGCACTAAAGAGAAACAGAAAAAAATATGTTGGAGAAAGGTCATTGCGAGATAAAGACAGGACATGTGGCCAGACAAAAAGAAAATTAAAAGGGCACACTTTGGTTTGTGCTTTTTTCAATAAAAGATATTTGCTTTTTAAATGGAAAAAACTTTCCGTTCCCATCTGGGCAGAAAGTCAGAATCAAATAGATATAATTGGAAAAGCTTACTAAATGATGGACTTATGTTACATTTCCTCCTCTAGCTGATCTTTTTTGTTTTATTTTATGTAATGGAGCAAAATCTTCTTAAATAAATATATTTGAGAGCAACACACACAAAAGGCACATTTTATTGTAACATGGATGAAGCAAAGAGAAACTTAATCTGAGCCACCAAAAGGTAAACAGCTTTTGTTGGGTGCACAATTACATGTAGAAGGGAGGTCATATCTTCCATTTTGGTTTCAGGTATGAGGTCCTGAGTAATAAAACCATGAACAATTTTGGGCTCTTCCAAATGATAAAAATCCCTAAGATGTTTTTCATAAATCCAAGTAGACTGAATATTTAATGGTTCAGAATAAGAGGCTGTAGGACAATCTATGTTGGAATTTTAGAGGCAAGGGGTTGGTGGAGAACTCATAAAGTTAGGAATATGTTCAGATCTACTCACTAAAAAAGGGAAGATGAGACAGAGTTAAGAAATTACTGCAGAGATTGATCCTGATAATGGTGGTTGGGCAGCCCAAAATCCAGATTTCAAAGAACAAAGAAGCTCAAGAAAAATTCAGTGGTTACTCTAGTAAATCCACTCTAGAAGACAGAGGACAAGTGATGTTCAGTCTAGGTAGACGGAAGGTGAGACTGAGGGGTAGGAGAAATCTGATTTTATGTTAAAGCTTTCATCCCATTTAAGGAGACTGACAAACTTAAGTTGTACAGTTACATAATCTATCCAGGGGTTAGAATGGAGCCTTTAGTCACAGGGTAAATTGGGGTATCGATTTGCTTAGAAATGACCCCATAAAAAAGCTCAGTACTATGAGCTGAAACAGGAATGAAGTAAGGAGTTTTGTGAGTTGGAGAGAAGGAAGAACTTCCAAAGAGACCTAGTCATCCCTTTGGCATGGAGTATATGTTCAATTAATAAAGAAGACTTAGGGTAGTTAGTGAATTGAAACACAATGTAAGAGTACATTTAGTAGCTAGGACACCATATTCTGAGTGTGAGGATATTGATATGCTTGTAATCCCCTCACCCACCTCCCAGGAGAGAAGTGGATCTTCTGGCCAAGTTGGTAAAGCGATTTCAGGAACTGGGTGACATGTGAGTCCATCTAGATCCATCCAAACCTGAAGGAAGCAATATGAAGAAAAACAAAGATGGCATTGACATGATTTCATTTCCTTCCCTTCTGGTTACTCTTCTTACTTTAAAATTTGCTTCCAGTCTTATATATGCTGTTGGGCCAGGGCGATTGGCTAAAGCCATTCTTACAGGTTTCTGTTGTTTCTTTTTATGTGGTTTCTTATGAGCAAGAAAGAAAGTGCTGATCCTTGTAGCTCTATAATCAAGAAGACGCCCTTATTAGATCCCATTCCGGTAAATAGGAGTAGTATCTAATTTCCTTTGGAAGAAAGGCAATAGAGGAGAAAGGGTATACCACCATGAAAGGCAATCTCGCCTGGAACCAATGTGTTTGAGTATTGAACTTGGGGTCACACAGAGTTTTTCCCAGCAATGATATTCGAATACATAATTACTCTGCTCTTCATGTGGTATTGGTAGTGCAAAGACCAAGTGTGTGCTTTGTATTTATTTTCCAGATTTCCCATTTATTGTTCCCTAAGCAGAATGACAGTGCAAGTTTTCCACCACATTTAAAGATAGCTTCTCTTGGCTTCAGGAAGCTTTCGGATTCCCTTTTATTCCTTTCTAATATTCCCTTTCTTTATTTGGTTGGTGACGAGGCAATGCTTCCTGTTCCATTTTCATGGAGCGCAGTGCAGAGAGCTGCAACCTGGGAAAACATGTGACCTTTAGACGTATGCAGAAATGGTTTCCTTGAGCTACTCTAGCAATGGCTATTGAGAGTATTTACATATGAAAAATGCTATCTGCCTGTTATTGGTTATCTTCCTGTTGTTGCTGATACCCGCAGATACTGCAGGGCAGTATGAGGCTAAAGGTAGCAATATGTGTTTATCAGATTTTGCTGCCAAAAGATCAGAGAAATGACATGGTGCCAGTCCTTTTCACATCTTCAGACAATTTACATCCAAAGAGAACTGGCTTTGCATTCCATTTCCTCTTACACCATTTTCTGCCCTTTAAAAGAGCAAACCTGAGGCTGGTTCAATGTCGCAACTTCTCCATCAGAGAAGCTGGGCCCACTAGATCCTCGCTTTTCTATACTCATGTGTCTTTGTGTGTTTGTTATTGTGTTTATTTCTCATCCACAGCCTTCCCCACTCAGAAAAACGTGTTCAGCCAAGCAGGTCCCGGAAGGGCAGTAAGGTTTTTTTGTTTTGTTTTGTTTTGCTTGTTTTGTTTTTGTTTTTGATCAGGTGAGAGGTAGTAGGTGAGGTTATTTGATCTTACAGAGTTCACATGGCTGGTTCCAAGTTACACTGCACATGTTTGGTCCTTATTTTCCAGAGTTCACTGTACTTTGGCAAGTGTTGGCTGCATATAGTTTGAGGGAATATTGAGCACTCTCTCACAGGATCTGCTACTGGCTGTCTTAGTTCAATTTGTGTTGCTATAACAGAATACTTGAGACTGGGTAATTTATACATGGTAGACATTTATTTCTTACTGTTCTGGAGGCTGGGAAGTCCAGGATTTAGGTGCTAGGCCTCTCATCTCATGAGGGTCTTCTTGATGTGTCCTCACATATTAGAAGGAGAAATAGAAAAGAAAGGAAAAAGGATGAACTCTGTGTTCTCACATGGCAGACAGTCAGAAAGGGAGAACCCCCTTGCAAGACCCCTTCTTACAGTGACATTAATTGTCCATTCATAAGGGTGGAGCCCTCATGATCTAATCACCTCCCCGTAGGCTTCACCTTCCAATATTGCAACACTGGGGATCATATTTCCAACACATGAATTTTGGGGAACACATTCAGATCATAGCACCTGCCCAAACCTCTCTTCTGTCCCTATTACCGTTGTAAACATTGATCTAGGAAAATGCTAACATTGGACAATTGACAACAAAATTCAAAGGGCATGTAAATACCATAGTACTTAAAAAGATAAACCTTGTTCTCTTATCATTTGGCCTAAAAGCAACAGTTTCATGTATTTTTTAAGAAAACTGGGAATTATCAAGGAGAATATTTTAAAGCAAAGTGCAGATGGAATCACCTGGAAGAAACAGAGGAGGGAGATGAGGTTGTTCTTTCAAAAGGTCCACAGTTCAACTGGTAAAATGGTGTCTCCTGCCTTTATAAGGTTGAAATTGGGTTCTAACATTTGTTTCTTACAGAGGTCTGTCTTTCCACTTCTGTAGTCCTGCAGTTATCACGGGTCTCAAACTGCAGTATTTATTTCTCTTCTACTGCAGTGCCTTTTATCTCCTACTGACTAAAACCTCAAGCCTTAAGTAGCATTGGGCATGAATCACACAATGGCTGGCCACCAGCCACATGCCCCCCTTCAGATTTGTTTGTCTTGGAAATTTTTGAAAATTCGAATAAGCTGTTGTATTGTTTTCTACTGCTATGTAATGAATGACCAAACACTAAGCCACTCAAAACAATGCATGTTTATTACCTCACAGTTTCTGCAGCTCAGGAGTCCAGGCACAGTTCAGCAGTTTGCCAAGGGTCTTACCAGGCAGTCATCAAGGAGTTCATGAGGTTGCATTCTTAATGTGGAGGCTTCAGTGGGGAAGAAGCCACTTCTAAGCTCATTCTGATTGCTGTCAAAATTGACTTGCTTGCAGCTGTCAGCTGGAGGACTAAGGACGCTGGCATTTTGCTGGTTGGTGGCTACTCCTGAGTCCTAGAAGCACAGTTCCTTGTCCTATAAGCTTCTCTGTCATGACTTCTTACTTCATCCCACCTCAAGAGGAAACAGCTCTTATTTTAAGAACTGGTTGAGTCAGGGCCATCCATTATCATCTCCCTTTTGATGAACTCAAAACAAATTGACTTGGAACTTTAATTACACTGAAAACAATCCTCTACTGTTGTGATATTCTATTGGTTAGAAGCAAGTTGCAAGTTTGGCCCACAACCAAGGGGTCACACAAGGCATCAGGAAATCAAGGGGACTTCTCTTCGTTTTGCCCACTATAGTTAACCACATTTACAAGTCAGTAGAGTCCATAAGAATCTAGTTTATTTGACGATTCACAGTCCACTTTGGCCAGACATGCCTGACTAACTGTCTGTTATTCTACCTTCTGCCTCTAATTTTTTTATTTTTTATTTTTTAAAGAGAGGTTTTTGCTATAGGACATGTGTACTCGCTGGAGAGACAGAGAGAGACAGAGACAGAAAGTGAGAAATCACCCTCCAGGGGGCAGGCCATGCCACAATCCCTTCTCCTCCATTCTTCTGTCAGGATCTTGGGCATGCTCATACGTGCACCCAGCGTGAGTTTAAGCCACTGGGTCCGGATCTTGAACTGCAGTCGACAACATAGGAGTCCAGCAACGTAACTGTTATGCCATCTGCTGGTCCCCTGCCTCTAATTTTTTAAAGTTTATTCACCTATTTCTTCTAAAAGAGAGAGAAGGAGAGTGTCATGCCGCCATCTATCCCCAGCCTCAGCCAGCCAGGATCGTAAACGTGCACAGGCCTCCCAGTATGCACAGGAAGACCTCTACACACTAACCTGGGATCTTCCCATGTGCCTCAGCATCACAGTGTTGTATTCCCACGTGTCATGACAGCTGGCTGTCCGCCTCTAATTTCTGCATTTACTTGTGCTTCCTTCATTATCTCTGTACCAGGGATGGCTACCAGTTTCTTAGTAAGCATCTGCTGAAATTACCTTATCACAGTTGTTTTGATTATATTTTTGTGATTCTGGGTGTATTTGCTAGTAGTTGTATTAGAAGGAATTTAGAGATCATATATCTCTTTCATAAAGAAAACTAAGATTGTGATTCCTTCTCTTCAAGCCCTGCAGCAGTTTTGCAGATAAAATGAAAGAGGAATAAGCTAACTTATGTCTCAGAAGAGAATCTGTAAGTATTTGTTTGCAAATCCTTTCTCTAGGAAAACATTTTTCAAATAGCAAAAACCACCATGGAAATCGTACATCCTCCAATCCATGGAGGATGGATTTAGCTACTTTTATAGAGAGTTTGGTGCAATTGAAGAGTTTCCAACCTATGCCATTGAGATACCACTTTGTCTTTGCTAGCATATCTTTATCTACTAATGACATACTATAAGTGCACCTTTCTGGTGTAGTAAAGGTCAAGATTTTGTGCTCAGAAACTACATCTACACTTCTTACGGGGTTTTGGAGTCAGGAAGCCCAGGATAAAATTCCAGCCTTATCATTCACAATATGATTGACCTGGGACAGATTATCTGAATTCTCTGTGCCTCAGTTTCCTTATTTCCCAAATGGATACTAGAATTTATTATTATTATTATTTTTTCCTAAGAATACATGAGTTCATACACACAACCCATTTGGAAAGATGCATCAGTAACATCCACCATTATTGTTATTATTACTTTCATTTTTGCTCCTGGGTGGATGTTTAGGCTGGGATATGATTTCCATATTGAGAACATCTACTCTCAGTGGGGGCAATAATCCTAAGAGGGAGAACATTTGGTGCTTGGGGGACAAAACAAATTTACTCTTTGAATGCACAAAGCACAGATACACATAAGTACATGAATAGAAATACAGTATATCTACATTACAATTTCATGGGGGTAATCAGTTAAGAAAAAATGACTAAAACAGTTCATCAGGGGTCCAGCAGAGATTGTGTGGTTAAGTTGATGGACTCCCACATGGCTGACCAGGATTTGAGCCCTGGACCTGGCAGCTTGCTTTCTTACTTTCAATCTCTCTCTCTCTGGTCAGTATATGTGCCTTATAGCAAATTAAAAATGATAACAACAATAATAATAAATAAAATTAGAAAAATGATTTTTTTAAAAAGTTCATTGGGAGGGCAAAAATGGAAAGGAAAAGGTTAAGGATCACTATTTCAGAAGAACAAGAGCAGACTGACTCCATAATTTGCTGGATCCTTGTTAAAATACTATTAAGAATTTCAAGATGGTGACTGCAGAGCATTAAACCAAGCAAGGGCCCTTCTAAGTCTGGGGGTCTGTGTGACTTGTCCCCTGACAAAGGCATCTCTGGACAAGAGCATTCCATGGTGTCTTCTATGCTTCTCCTGAGAAGTATCACAGGACAACTCCGGATGTGCCCTTTCTTATTAACCCTCCTTACCCAACACCACATAATTAGGTCTCTTGCCATAGGCTGGGAAGGCAGGGGCTGCCTTCTGTTGGGTTTAGTCATGGATTAGAAACTAGCTCTGCTAATATTTGTGTAAAAACTTGAAGAGATAGTAAAGATTAATGAATATTTCAGTAGTTTTGATTCTCCCAAGGTTTTGCCTGTGCCTATTGATTGAACCTTCACTTTATCCTCCTCTAAAATCTGTAAGTTCTTTTGAAATTTTATTTCAGGTGCTTTGGTATAAAAGTAGGTAGAGAGAAATAAAGTTCTCTAGGAAAACGAAGACATCGGCTTCCTCTGTTTCTGCCCCCATCCAGAGTTTCTGGTGCTGCCTGGCTCTAGAGATGTGTCGGAGGAAATGACCTAACCTACTACAAGGCTTACTTACTCAGAGGCTCCCAACCATGCCTGACGGTAGCGGCTGCTGACCCTCCATCTTCCCCTCTGATGCCAGGTCCCAAGAATAGCTCAGTGGGAACAGCCTAGCAGGCCTGCAAATGAAAGCCCTGATTAGGTAAAAAATAAATAAATAAATAAATAAAGGAAATGAGACTGCAGAGCTGTTCAGGGCCCTTCCATGCCAAAGGTGTAGAAATCTTCCTGTGCTGGGACCAGCAGTTTGTGTAATGGCTATGTCGCTGGACTCCCACATAGTCGACCGCAGTTTAAGTCCTGGACCTGGTGGCTTAAACTCACATTGGGCACGTGTACGTGGGTGCCCAAGATCCCAAGAGGAGAATGGAGAGGAAGGGATTGTGGCATGACCATTCCCCCTGGGGGGTGATTTCTTGCTTTCTGTCTCTTGTCTCTCTGTCTTTCTGGTGAGTGCACACGCCCTATAGCAAAAACCTCTCTCTAAAAAAATAAAAAATAAAAGGAAATCTTTCTGTGCCCTCAGAGGCAAGAGGCAGGTTTCACTCACAAGACCTCAGTCCATCTCTTTGAGTCCTGGAAACTTCTAGGAGAAGCAGCTTGCCCCTGGGAGACTGATTCCTTGAGAATCCAAAAGACCAGAATGCATGTTGTTCAGTTTACACTTGCTGGAACTTGGATCAGAGAAAGCCCCACATGCTGGGGATGCATTGCTTTCTGGGAAAATCATTCTTAGAACCCCATCTCACATTAAATGAAACCACTAAAGATATTTCCATCTTCCTCGTTTCTGGTGGAGAGACTTTAAAACAGTTGCTAGTATGTCAGTGTGATGCCATTATAAACCTTAATCAAAAGAATATAAAATAGACTTTGCCCCATAACTGAAGTTTTTTTCTTTTCAAACAGACTTTGAGGAGGTCAATAGAGTAGAATGAGGTGAGGTGGTAGTTAGGGAGCAGCATGGGAAATACTCAGGACTAAGTCCATTCTGGTTACTATAATAAAAGTCCATAGATTCAGAGGCTTAAAAGCAACAAAGAGTAATTTCTCATAATTTTGGTGACAGGAAAGTCTAGATCATGACCCCAACACCCTCTCTTCCTCCTCAAGGATGACTCTCTTCTCACTGTGACTTCACACAGAAGAAGAGGAGTATGTGTGTGCATGTGGGGGGTCCTTCTGTGCCTCTTTCATAAAGGCACCAATCTCATTCACGAGAGCTCTGGCCCCATGACCTAATCTTACCTTCTATTACCATCACTTGGGGGTTAGGACTTTAGCATGTAAGTTTTGAGGAGACACAATCATTGAGACCATAGCACTTTAAAATATGATGTGATGGATACTGGAGACAATGTGGGAAGAGAATGGGAGGTGGGGAGAGAAAGAAGAAAGGAATCAGGGAGAAAAATAGAGAGGTAAGACACGGAAGGGACACAGAAATGGAGGATTGTCTGTTGATGATAACGTGTATGATACCTTCAGCTGGACTGGTATGAAGTGTATTCATATTGGGTAAATTCATTTTACAAGCTGTAGTGATGTACAGTGATTGAATGCATAAAATAAGTTAAAAACAAAAAACCGCAATTAGCACACTACAGTCTTCTGCCCAACATCCCCACTGCATATATAACAGTTTGTACTTTATTTAGTACCATGCTTATTAATTTCTACATTCTCTACCTGACTGCTAAAGCTTAAAATACTTGGCCCTTTATGTAGAAAGTATACTGATCCCTATTTATAAGGACCACACATTTAGTTGTTTTTGTGCTATATACAGGTCTCACAGAAATAGTTAAAAGTGGATTCTATTCTCTCCATTTACAGAAGGGGAGAGGCAAAGCTTGCCCACAGTCACACAGATGCAGGTGGTAAATGGCGGGGTTGGGACAGGTGTCTGTCTGATTCGATGGGCTTCTTTATATATACTACGTGGTCTCCTAGCTAAATGCCCATTAGTTTGTTGGCTTGAATGACTGGTTGAAAAATCAGATGTCTTTGGGGTCCAGGCAGGTAAGTTCCAAAGGACATTGCTCTTAGCCAGAGGGAATGGTGTATATTATGGCTAAGTAGAAAGTACAAACCAGGCCTTCAGGCATTCAAATACAAATCGTTTAGTTACAGTTAGGAGGGCCAAACAAAACATGTCAGTGGGCCCTATTAGACTATCAGGTCTCCAATTAGTGACTCCGGGATGGAACCTCCATCAAGTTAGGCTAGAGGAACTTTGCTGCTCAAAATGGGAACTAGAGAGTCTGTTAGTCTATCTGTCTGGGTCTGGCTCATTTCTTTGGGAATGTCACAGATGGCTGTGTGGTATTTTGTCCTGACTCTGCTACACAGTTATGGTATACCTTTAAACAAGTAAAGTAACCTCAATGACCTTCAGCTTTTTTTTTAATTGCTAGAGGGCATGTGTGTTCACCAAAAAAAGACAGAGAGAAAGAGTAAGGAAGTAGCCCTCTTCCCCCTGCTCCAATGGGATATGGTTATGCTGCAATCCCTTCTCCCCTGTGTCTCCATCCTATGGGAATCTGGGCTTATGTACCTGGCATGGTTTCCAAGTTGCAGAGGCTAGGATTCAATCCACAACTGGCCAGGTAAATTAGCTCCCTTAAACACTAGGCTATAGATAGGGTTGACCTTATAGCTGTTATTTTGCATCTTTAAAACAGGGACTTGTTTATTTCCCAATTAGTGGTCCATGGTGTGTTTCAGACACTGCTCTAGTCTTGATTTATCTCATCAATTGGCAACTCCATACTCCCATTCACTTAGGAAAAAGCATGATTTTTCTCTTTCCGTTGCACCAGATGATGGTCCATTGGCAAAGCGTGCTGGCTCTATCATCCATAAAGATTCCAACCACGTCTCAGCTCTATCACGAACACGTGGATCTGAGTCAGGTTGCCTACCTGGGATACTGCCATAGCCTCCTTACCTGTCTCTGGGCATATCTTGAGTCCACTCTCCACCCAGCAGCCGGAGATACCAGTGAAATGCTTGTCAGACGTAACATTTGTCATGGTTCCTCTTCTCAGTGTAAAAGCCACAAGTTCTTACAATGGCTGTCAAAATGCCAATAATCTATCCCGGGTCCCCACATTTCTCTCTACTTTTGTGATCTCATTTTTAGCACTCTGAGAGACCTGCTCTCTCTTCTCTAGCCACAGTGGCCTTCTGCCTCTCCTTTAAGCACACTAGGAGAGCTCTCACCTCAGGGCTTTTGTTACTCTTTCTTCTGTCTGGAATGTTCTTCATTCAGATATCCACAGGATGCTTTATTATTCCTTCAGGTATGACTTCATCTTTTCACTGACTCCTTTTCTACCATGTAATTCATATGTGTGCCCCATTCCTAGTTCTCCTTTCCTTTATCTTCCTGCCTAGCACATATCATTGTCACATACTATATGCTTTGCTCATTTATATTGCTTATTGTCTATCTTTCACAGTAATCGAATAATTGTTTGGTTCACTGCTTTCTCTTCAAAGTATTCAACCCATCCTAGAGTCAATATTCATTAGCCCCCTTTCTTCATTGCTTTCTCTTTCTCATCAGAAATAAATGATATACATCTTTATTATTTTATTTAACCTGATATAATTGAATCAGAATCCTTTCAAGTACAAAGAGCTATGGCCAATGATGAGAAGATCTCACTCTGTCAGTGACCATGACAGTGGGGTCCCCAGAGTAGCATCACCTCATTACCTGGGTACTTGTCAGAAATGCAGATTATGGGATCCTATTTGCACCTGCTGAATCAGAAATAGTGGGAAGGATCTAGTAATGCTTTAACAAACCCATCAAGTGATTTTGATGAAGGCTCAAATTCAAGAACCATTGTCTTATTCAAGTTGATTCATAAAATGGTTTTTGGTCAAAGAGTGACTATGAAAAATGAGGTAATGAAATTAGCTGTGGAATGGCATCCAGGACACCTGTGTCAATGCCCACCTCTGCCACCGAGTGGACTCATTATTTTTTGACCTGAAATTTAGGTTTCTTAGCTCCAGAATACAGAATGAGGTGGTCTGTAAGACCCTGACCCATGTGGGCATGCAGTGAGTGTACACCAAACCTGCTTCTCTCTTCAGATTCTGGGACCATCTCCAATGCTTATGTCTCCATGTCCTCTTTCCTCTTCATGTTCCCAGACACTAAAGACCTGTGGTAACGAGCTGGATATCTCTTGTCTCTAAGCATACTGTTCTCAATATTTGTTTTACCTACTTATATATTATATGCATGTGATGTTCTACAAACATATTTGATACATTATAATTCACACACAGTGGAAATTAAAGTTTATATAATAATAATAAGAGGTTCTAGCCTGGACTCATCATTTTGGATACCACTTATCTAGAGGACCAAGATTTGGTTCTCCTTAACTTCCTCCTACACAGTGACCCATTTTCCAGAAAATGCTCAGCTTTGAGATCTGAGCTGTTATTTATTTTTTAAATTTTACTTTTTTTTTTTTTTTTTTAGAGAGTGAGTTTTGCTATAGGGCACATGCACTAGTCAGAGAGACAGAGAGAAAATGAGAAATCACCCCCTGGGGGAATGGCCACACTGCAATCCCTTCTCCTCCACTCTCCTCTTGGGACTTGGGGCACATATGCTCTTGCTCCCTGTATGAATTTCAAGCCACTGAATCTGGAACATGAAACACAGTGGGCCATGTGGGAGTCCAGTGCCTTAGCCAGTGAATCACCTGCTGGTCCCAAGCTCAGTTACTTTCTAAAAACAACTTGTCAAATAAATTCATTGAGAATATAGTCTCTTTCATCAAGCACTTATTGCATGTCAGACAGTGCCCCAAGTGCTTTTCACATACATAAATCTAATTTTCACATGATCTACATGGATATTGTGAAGTGGGTTCAATTTTCCCATTTTACAGGTAAGGAAATTGAAATGCAGCTGAGTTTAAAAACTGCTCAAGTTTACTCACTAGGAAAGTGGTAGAGATGGGTCACTGGAAAAAGTAGAAATGTCTGCTATAGCATACTAAAGGCATTTCTCAGGATATGTGTCCTTGAAGAGAGTTCTTTAACCAAAGAAAACAGCATTAATTTCTAACTGCAGATTTTCAGTGAG